GGTATTTCCCTACTTTCCGCACCGTGGATTTTTTTTAAATTTTAATATGTATTTTATATTTGTCCACCAAACACACTGCATTAATGAATTGGATGAGAAGAAATTCCTTCTTACCTAAATTACGCTTTAACTGAGTTAAATTGACGATTTCTTATATTTTTTTCCTCAATTGAGGGGAATTTCCCTACTTTCCGCAAGGTGGATTTTTTTTTTAATTTTAATATGTATTTTATATTTGTCCACCAAACTCACTGCATTAATGAATTAGATGAGAAAAAATTCCTTCTTACCTAAATTACGCTTTAACTGAGTCAAATTGACGATTTCTTACATTTTTTTCTTTAATTGAGGGGAATTTCCCTACTTTCCGCACGGTGGATTATTTTTAAATTTCACTATGTATTTTATATTTGTCCCCCAAATACACTGTATTAATGAATTGGATGAGAAAATATTATTTCCTGCATAAATTACGCTTTTAACTGAGTTATATTGACGATTTCTTAAAAATTTCCCTTAAATTGGGGGGTATTTCCCAACTTTCCGCATGGTGGAATTTTTTTAAAATTTAATATATGTTTTATATATCTTCATCAAATACACGGTATTAATGAATTGCATGAGAAAAACTTATTTCTTGCATAAATTACGCTTCAACTCAGTTAAATTTTAGATTTTGTCGATAAATGAGCTGCTGAGCAATAATTCATTTTACCGAGGAAAAATGTGTTGTTTCAATCATTTTTGTTTTTTATTATGTTTCAGGTCTGTCGTTAGTTTCTGAAAGGGAGAATCGCCTGATTTTTTGCATCCATGTAGCCGCAATTAAGTGAATTCGCGACAACTGTCGTGGAACATGGCGGGTTCAAATTTGGAAAAATTGGTAACTGTCCGCTGGAAGTGTCTGCTAGCTTTACCTAGGTTGAAAAACAGGCTGTGCAAGTTGATGCACGAAGTGAAATTGTGAACGTTACGGTTTTGGTTGAAAATGATAATAATTTTTCTTCAAAGAGTAGTACTTCTTCACCAGCCAGTGACTGCAACAAACCTGCTGTTAAACGTAAATATGACGAGGGATATCTGGGCTTGGGATTCACCTGGATTGGTTCTGAAGATGCGATGCGCTTGGTGTAGTATGTCAAAAGATTTTACAAAATAGTTCATTGGTCCCTGCCAAAATGAAGAGACATCTTGAAACCCATCACCCTCACTTAGCTAATAAAAGCATATCATTTTTTGCCACCAAACTTGTTGGAATAAAAGCAATGCAAAGAATTATACATTCAACAACAACATTCAATGATAAATTACTAGAAGTATCTTACTTAGAGAGCCGAAGAATTGCTATGGCGGGTGAGGCACACACTATTGCTGAAAAGCTCATCAAACCATCTATCCTTGATGCTGTGAAAATCTTGCTGGGCGAGAGCGAATCCAAAAAACCGGAAAGCATTCCTTTATCGAACAATACAGTAAGCCGCCGTATAGATCACATGGGAATTTATATCAAGTATGAAGTATGCTCTCGTTTTCAAAAATGCGATTTTTTTTGTCTCCAGATCGATGAGTCTACAGATGTGGCAGGTTTGGCGGTATTACTTGCATTTGTTCGTTACGCCTATGAGGGTGATATTCAGGAAGACTTGCTTATGTGTAAAACTTTACCCACTTATACCACAGGTGAGGAAATATTCAGGACTTTGGATTCGTTCATGAGTGAAAACGAAATTACTTGGGGAAAATGCATGGATGTGTGCACGGATGGAGCCAAAAGCATGACTGGCTCAGTAAAAGGTGTGGTGACACGAATTAAACAGAAAAATCCGGAATGTTCCAGCTCTCATTGTGCTATACACCGTTATCAATTGGTAGCAAAAGGAATGCCTTCCGAACTAACCAGGGTTTTGGATGACGTGGTTAAAATTGTTAATTTCATCAAGTCAAGACCACTGAAAAGCAGGTAAAGTGCTTGTGAGAGTTTTTGAATTAAGGGAGGAACTATTGGCATTTTTTAAGGAAGACAAGTTTAGTTTGTCGCGCTGCAACATGGCTGCAGTGCCTTGCTTATATGGCAGATATATTTTACAAGTTGAATGAATTTAACTTACGCATGCAAGGCAAGTACGAACCCGTTCTTTCAGTCAAAGATAAAGTTATCGCATGAAAAGGAAACTCAAATTTTGGAGTGAAATGGTGAATATCAACGATCTATCTTGCTTTCCTTCCCTGCAAAACTTTCTTGTAAACAGAAATCTTAAGATAGATGGCTCGGTGAAAAACAATATTGTACGACACTTGAACGAACTTCAAACAACTTTTCTCCAGTATTTTCCCGAGGAGACGGACAACTTTGATTGGATTCGTAACCCAGTCAGTAATTCAATTGTTTCCTTCACTGGCAGAACCATGGAAGAGTTTATCGAACTTTCAAGTGATGGAAGTTTGAAATTAGAATTCACAAGCCACCCACTTGGCTAATTTTGGCTGAATATGCGAAATGAATATCCTGCCGTTGCAAGAGAGGCAATGAAGAAAATTTTGCCTTTTGCGACTACCTACTTATGCGAAACAGGGTTTTCGCGGTACGTGTCCACCAAGACAAAGTACAGGAGCCGATTGGATGTCGAAGCGGAGATGTACGTTCAGCTTGCCACTATTACACCTGATATTAAACGTCTTTCCTCTTCTGTGCAAGCTCATCTTTCCCATTAAATTTGAGTAAATCCGTCACACTGCGACTCCGGTCACACATAATTAGTACTGTATATATTTATTCATCAGTTTTTGTTTGAACTTTAGTGATGATAAATAAACAATTGATTGACACCATTTTTCTTTAAATTTACCCTCTTATTTCTTGGTGTTCCGCGAGGCGGGATAAAAAGCGTAGGTGTTCCGTGGCTGGAAAAGTTTGGGAAACGCTGGATTATATAATTAAGACGATGATCGCATAATAACATTTGCGTTTTTCTGAATCAACGAATGATTTCGTTAGCATAATAAAAATATAAGTGGCGGAATTTAGCTTAACGATGTCGATGGACTAAATAACACTTACGCTGACGAGTCAGAATTTATAACAAAGATTAGTCTTTTAAAAAAAAAAAGTGTGTGCTGTTAAAGACTTTGATTCACCTACAGAATTTGAAACATTTCACTGGTCGCATAGTCGCTCTTTTTCTGTGCTTACCAGGATATATATATTTACGATACAACACAATTCATAGGTGTGAATACTGTAAGTTTATTCAGTCTAACCACTAATTTCAATCTTAACACACATGTAATTTGTATTTATATAAATGCTTTACAATTTCATACTATTCCTGATTCATTAGCTTCCGATTCCGTTATATTGCCTCCATGTCCTTCTCATCTTTGCACCGTCTGTAGGCTCCTTGTTAGTATTCCTTCAGTGCTGGTTCATGGTATCATTTTAGTCCTTCTGTGGCGCCGAAAACGCGACCACACCCTACGGCCGCCAACTTGATATTGACGTACAGTGCGGTGGAAATTGCATTCGGCTGCTACTTCAAAAAATTGCTTACATAGTGTGATTGTGGAGATAAGTTTCCAAATATCACGGTGTCAAAGGTCGAAAAACATCCACAGGCGCGTACACCGATGGTTCAAATGGCGCCACTTCATCTGATTCTAACTTCAAAGGTGATTCTGAGAACAAAAAGTACTGTAAAAAAGTACGGTAGCTACTGTCATGACTGTAGTAATAATACCTGTGCAATGATAGCAACGTAGAGCAGTCAAGATTGTTCGTTTATATTTTATATGTAAGTTACGGTTATTTGAATTTTGAATGTTTTTCTCATTCAGCCATTCCAGTATTCGGCTGTGTTTAGTGCAAAAATGGCTTCCGTTTGTTCTAAATCTATGGAAACCTAAATTGTTAACTTAATTTTTACATGCAACTATTTATTTGATGCCTTCAAATTTTGGTATCTACATCAGTGCTCTTCAACAGGGGTTCCGCGGAACCCTAGGGTTCCGCAATACATGCAGTGGGGTTCCGTGAGTTTATTGGGTTCCTTAGGGGTTCCGCGTTTTTTATTTTCAGGGGAAATCAATTCTTGCTTCAGCATGTTGATGCGTCGTTGCAAAGTTGTTTAAAGAGAGTTGTAGACATAAGTATGAGAATTGCATTGAGCGCCGTGGAGCCACGATTCAAGAAGATTGCAAAGGAAATGCAAGAAAAACCTAGTCATTGAATTTCACGCTCGTTACCGTCTTTCTGTTTTGTTGTTGAAGTAGAAATATTTGAATTACAAATATTTCGTGTTACGGGTATTCCGTGTTTTTTTTTTTAATTTTGTTAATTCTGTAATTGGGGTTCCATAAAAAACGAAAAATTATCTCAGGGGTTCTACAAAAACAAAAAGGTTGAAGAGCACTGATCTACATGCAACATGTGCCGGTAACAATTACAGAAGTACCGGTATGTGTGTTCTAGCTTTTGTTTGTTTTGCATTTTCTTTACTTAGCCTGCATGTCAATATTTTTAACTTATGTCTGTATGTGTGCCTAGCTTTTCTATCAAATTAAATGCCAGGAAAGCCGCTCACTGCTGCTGAACTGTGTTCTTAGGTTTTGCTCATTTCCCAGGCATTTCTGTTATATGATTTGTTGGTTTCCGTGAGTATTGTATTTTTGGAATGCCGAAATACTGAAATACACTGTCTGCACAGTCTGACTGTATTGTATAACTTTTAACCTAGGCCTATCGCAGTACTGACCCACACACCACACTTGACTCCTTAATGTGTCACTCCACTCTGCCACTCCCTGAATACTGATAGTATTTTATATGCATATTCAGATATTTATCAGGTTCAAATCAACTTTAGTTTCAATTCCTACTTGAAACATTGTTTCGATGAATAAACATATCTTATATAACATGTATCTAATCTAGAACCAGAGAACTGTCTGCTGATGATGGAGTCAAAATTTTATTTGTATAATTTTGAGATAAATTGTGTTTATGCCTCATTTATTTTTTGATAGTTGAAGTAGTTAGCGAATACAGAAATACTAACGTTGAAATACAAAAATATGGGTTCAGAAGTTCCCAATGAATTTAAATTAAACAGCTGCCCCAGTGACGGAATATCTGCTGTGAAATTCGCTCCTACTACCTCGCAGTTTCTTCTGGCATCATCATGGGATTGTACTGTTCGACTGTATGATATAACTGAGAACACACAGCGGTTTAAATATACTCACTCGACACCTGTGTTGGACTGTTGTTTCTCTGTAAGGCCTATTTACTTATTAATCCAGTTAATGGACATGTTCCACATGCTGAAAATGAAAAAATAGTTTCAAATTTTCAAAGTGATCAAATCTTGCAGATTCTGAGATTGGTCTATTGCTCAGTGAAATCAGCTTGTAACAGAGATTAAATTTTCTGAAGTGTACCAAATGGGTTGAAGAGTTTGATCATAGTTTAATATTTTTATGTCAAAAGGGTCCTCAGAGAACTCACCTTTTGAGTGATTGCATGTAACCTTGATATGAGCAAAAAAATAAAAATCTGAGCAAAAAATAAAAATTTGATACTATTATGGAACATGTTGTTTATGACAGGATGGTACTCATGCATGGAGTGGAGGATTAGATTGTACTCTCAAATCTTATGATTTCAACTCAGGAATGGAAATGGTAATTGGCAATCATAATGCTCCCATCAGGTATGGCTATTTGTACTTTTGTGTTTTAGTAACTGAAATATATTCACCATAGTTAAACATTTTATATTGGCGAACATACTTTGATTGAACTAATCTTATCAATAATTTCAAATTTATGGTTTTAATTTTCAACTTAATTCTTGGTGATGCAAAATATATTTTATTGGAATTTAGCATGACAAATATAATTATTGAAGACTACAGGACTCATCACATCATTGTTGCAGGGTGATTTATGCAACTGCATGCCAGTCAGTCCATGTGTTTATAAATATGCTGGCCATCTCCCTAACTGACCTGGACAGTTGAACAGGCAATCAATCATAGTTTGCCAAATAAATGATTCATCTTACTGGCTTTTCACTCTTCCAAGAACTAACACCTAGTAAAACTCTCGTCATTTATGATATTTCATCCAAGGTGTGTGGAGTATTGTCCTGAAGTTGATGTGATAATCACTGGAAGTTGGGATCAGACATTGAAACTCTGGGATTCAAGAGATAAAAAATCTATTGGATCTTATTCACAACCTGAGAAGGTAGTATCATATTAGTATGATTGTTTTCTTGAGCTATATAGATTCTCTGATGTATTACCCAGGAACGCTAATGGCAATAAGATTGGTGGCACAGACAGAATATTTTCAATTGGGATTTGATTTGTTAACGAATTCTGACACTTTTACAATTTAGATATTTACAGATTTATTGTTTTAGATTTCAGATGAAATTTATACTGTCAATGTTTTCGGCCATTGATTTTGCAGAGTAATTTGTAATAAAATTTTTAACTAAAAGTTTTAAACCACTTCTCATAGGTCTACACAATGGCAGTCTCAGGTGATCGGGTTATCGTTGGTACTGCAGGAAAACGAGTCCTGGTTTGGGATTTAAGGAACATGAGCTATGTACAACAACGACGGGAATCAAGTTTGAAGTATCAAACAAGATGTATAAGAGCTTTTCCTAATAAACAAGTATGAATAAATTTGAATTTGGTTGGCCTTCTAGAATAGGTTCAAAATCTTCTTTTATGTAAATGCAGAAAAATATATATTCATTATACTATCCCCTACTTCTGTGGAGAAGTTGTTAAAAAATGAACAACATTTGTCCGAATAAGAAACTCATTGGTATTGTGCTGTTCAACCTCCATATTACCTATCAAAATATCATATCGACGCATGAAATCCAAATTGGGCTAAGTCCATTTTTCTAGTTTTGAGAAAAACGCAAAAAACGTTTTTTTTTTGTTTCTTTTTTATATTTCTCTAATACCTCACATCAAGGATGTCTAGTTTTTATGGTCCACCAAAGTTACAATGAAGACCATATTTTAATGGTATAAAAAAATTTGTGCTCCCCCCCAATTTTTTTTTTTTGGGAGTTTTTTGGACTTAACCCTTTTTGGCTCTCAGTTTTCTGGACTAGAAACAATTTTATTGGACTTAGGGCCCCTTTATTATGTTATTGTAGAGGCAACTTATCATTGATGAACGTCAATAATTCCCTTTTATAATGTTTTTGACATTTTTTGTGAGCTTATTTTTACAATGAAAAATATTCCTGCTTCTGAATCTTGATGACAATGGTTATCTAGCCTCCAATTTTTATCAGACTGCTGTTGCTACTGATTACTGCATTTGTTTACCTTCTCAGAACCATTACCAACTAAATTACTAAACAAATATAGGAAAGAAATTGTTGTAAATCATCAATCAGGGATGGTTAAAGAAAACAGAAAAAAATGCCCAGCATGAAAACAGTTTTAAATAGGCTTAATTTTACAAAAGTTCCAATGAATGTTTTTTTTTAAGATAGTCTTTCTGTTCATGAGATCTAACTTTCATCAACTACTGGGAGCATTTCGTAGAATTCCTTGTGGTTTGGAGGGATTAAATTCTTATTACATAATGTTGTCAAACTCTTGTATTTCTCACTGCAAACTGGCAGCCTTTCCTGGTAAAGCTGGGGTAGCTTTTCTATATTCTGTATTTTTTGTGTTGCTGATCTTGCTGACTTTCGAACCAAAGAGTTAAGGTCAACTCTCTGGAGCTCCTCATCCAAGTAACTGTACTTAAATTGCAATATACTAGGTTCAGTTTTTTTCAATTTTGCCTGTAAAATTTTGGACCAATAGAGCCTTTCACCTGTCTGAGAGCCAGTTTGAATTGTAATATTGTTCTTCCAAATTCCAGCGTATTTAGGGAAGTCAGATGCTGATTTGAAATTAACGAAATCTCCATGCTTCAGCAGAGTTATTTCGGGTTTTGTTTTTTCAAACGCCATTGAAATGGCAGTTTCCCATTGGTCGGTCGTATAAATGTTCACTTTTCGTACAGCTCTTTCAATCACCGAATGTGCTGTGTCATTCTCATTTTGAGAATGACCTGTAATTAGAAAATTGAGTGCTATTTCATCAAAATGCAGCTCCTCCATAGCATAGAGTAACATCACAATCATAGCTCTGTTATTATTTTGCCCACTGCAGCGGTCACAGAACAGTTGCACAATCTTCACTGTTGTGGTGAGAGAGGACAGGTATCGGAACACTGCAGTCGCTATTTCACAAGAGCCTTTTCGCCCTTCCACCTCATTCCAAAGATAGCAACTGGTTTGCATGGACTGAATGTCAGTAACTGTAAAGTTGAAATTTTTTAGCCTCTGTGTGTAGTAAAAGGAGGACACTTGTCCATGTGGACAAAGAAGAGTTTTCTGAAGGTCAAAAGCTGCCACATGAAGTGAAGCATCTGTTGTGGATTTTTCTTTCATTTCCCTCTTCATTGAACGCACCATTTCCTTTTCTTGAATATGCTTATTTTGATTTGCAAGATCTTCTTCAGTCAATAGAGATTTTGGCATATTTTGAAAGCTGGTGCATTGATCACACACATCCTTTTTAGGTCGATGAAACTTAAGATTGAATTTTTCATTGAATGTGCGTAAATAAAAATCATATGATTCAACTGGAGAGCTATTTTCTTCGCACCAAATCTTATACATTCTATACATTTCCCGAACAGTCAGATACTCAGGAAGATATTCCCATTGACTGTCTTTTCTCACATAATGTGATTCAACGACTGGAAACAATTTTATATGAGTAATAATTGGCTCCTCTCTTTCTCTGGTGACCTTGTTGTGGTCACCATATCTTTCTCCAGTGAACCAGCAGATGTTAATTTTCTCAGTGATGTCTCCACCCTTTTCTTGCTTATATTTAGGGTATCTAAAAAAAACTTCTGACACACTTGCACCAACTCATTGCTTTCTGGATTTGAAAAAGTGTAGACTCTGTTGACTTCTCGATTACGTTTTTGATCAGTCTTATTATCTTTTCTTAGTCTACTTCTCATTTTTTGTATTTCCTTGACGTATTTTGTTATAAACATTCGTTGCTTGTCCATGTCGCCTAGATTCCAGAATTGAATATTGATCATCATGCGAACTTCCTCTGATATTTTAGCCATACATTTTTTTTTACATGAGCAAGACGATTTGATTTTACCAATTTTTTTGAAAGAATCATTATCAGAGCCAAATCCTCTTTTTCCATGGTTTAAATCCGTTCGTCTTTTGTTTTTCTTCCAAGTTTCAGGCTTTCTTTTCCTTTTCCTAGCCTCCAGCACATCCGGACTTTTACCTTCTGTTGGACAATCTATTGACATGGTAGTAGACAATTTCACAATTTGATTCATATTCCACAGGAGTGACGATCCAGGGGAATGATAGTCCTCATCAAAGTTTTCCCATACTTGACAATCTTTGAGAATTTTTGTTATGAAAAAGCAGCCCTCATCTTTTTCCATTTCTCTTGCACAGGCTGATTCAATAGCATGATATTGTGCCCTGAAAATTTTCTTTCCTGTATAAAGCAGGTACACTTCCTCCTCATTATGCAATCCAGGCTTATTACTACTGGGCTGCATAACACATGCTGTTTGTGGAGTTGAAATTGATGTCAAATCCACGATTTGCTGATCTGTGTCTGAATCACTGTCAGAGAAGTATATTCTCCAGTGGTGTTTATTTTTCTCTGGGATATATTCTGGATCATTGTCATCATCCACTGATATATCGGACTCTGAAAGAATATCACTTTCCCCAATCTGCTCTGAATTTTCTGCTTCGATAACGCAATCTAGCTCTTTTTCTGACAGAGAATATTTGACAAAGTCCCTATTAATTGAAGTGATTGTGTTGTCTAGGAAGAATCTCACTCTGTAAGTGTTGCTGTAAATGCTCAATATTTCACCTCTTAGAATGGAGTTTTCTTTGTGTTGCAATGTTTTGCTGTAACCAGGACATGCTTCATCAAAATACGTTGCATACACAAACACTTCACAGCCTAGCTCTGGGTTTTTCTCACATGCAGTCCAACTTCTAGTACCGCCATTATTTTGTTCAAGAGTCATAATTATTCTGTATTATAATATAGCTGATAACTAAGAGCTAGACTATGTCTCATTCTGAAAAACATTATGAAAAGAGCTTGACAAAAATTATGGTTGAATGCCATTTACAAATTCAGGTAAGGTGTCAAATTGACACTGTCAAGGGAAATGATTTTCTATAGATTTGGACTGAGACAATAATTATATTCTGGCTAGATTTCTTATCAGATGCGATATCTTAACTGAATAAAGTCCTCAGGCTGGTTCACACTGGCCTTGCTTGAAAAATACATTTCCTACTTGAAATTTCCATAATTCTGTAAATAATAATTATTTAAAAACAGCCGTTTGAAAGTGGTTATGGCAATGAATTACAACTCACTCATTCTCTCTACTGTAAACATAAGAAACAGCTAACACTGAGCTATGACTGAGAGCTGGTATGGACTTAGCGCTTTGTATTATATTTATTTCAGATTTTTGGACGGAGCTATGTCCAAAAAACGGACTTAGCCCCAACTTACAATGCAGTTATCCAGAGCTAAGTCCACTAAGTAGACACAGCTCTGTTTAGTTCTCAAATGCCCTAAAAAAAGCAGGGTTATGTCCATAGCTATCTTGAGATCTAGAGCACCTAGAGATAAGGTAAATAGACCAAAATGTAGAGCTAAGTCCAGAAAAATCAGCAGTTGAAAAATGTCATTTTGGGGAAAAGTGGACTTAGCACTGTTTGGTTTTGAGGCGTCGATATGCGATACTTCAATATTTCTAAATTTAATTTCCGAAGTTAATCCATATATCGTGACTTGTGATATGCTTTGATTTTGTTGATTCTATTCCTACATTCTTTTCCATTCCTACTACCTACTGTATTTTCCTACCTCTTGTATTGGGACCTATATGTAATAATTTATACCAGTGGTTCTCAAACTTTCATATCCCTCATCCATCAGTTATATCCCATGATAAAATAAAAAATCCAACAAATGAAAGCAAAAGAATATATGCATTTCAGTGTTAGAATTAACTCTTTTGTTCCGTATAACATATATATTCGTACTACCAACCTTGGTCATAATAGTTATTTTCGGACTATTTTACGTTTATGTTCATGTTTTGTGAAGTATTCCGCACTAACTAAATCATTTTGAGCATCCAACTATGATCCGTGCTTGATCTGTCAACATTTTGTTTTTTTGTAAATTTTTTATTTTACTACTAAGTGAATTTTATTTGTGTAGGTATTTCAAAGCTTAGAGATACACGAAAGTATTTGTCATTACTTCAAAAATAAGTCATTTGAACGAGCGGGAAACAATTTCGCGCACATAATAAACAAACAAAGATTCCAGACAACTATCGTGGACATGCTCTCACATATCATTGATTATTTCGCGTTTCGCTTCGCTTGCGAAGCTGAGTCTGGTTTTTCTTCAAAGGTGACGTAACTCTCTTTCAGAAGAGCGCTTGGAATTTCGTTTCTTTGTAACACGTGTTCATCGAAGCGATAAGAGTGTGAAACGTTCTCTCAAAAATTTTTGAAATTTCTCTCTTCTTACACGCGTAGGGTCCAACGGTTTCGCCTACGTCACTTGGGCGCGTTTTAGTAGGAAGACGCGAAAATAAGCTTTTTAAAGAGATATTGGGGGTGTTCCTTGTACGTTTGGTTAACTGGTCATTACATATTATAAAATGGTACATAAAGTCGATTGTATACAGCGGAAAAAAAGGGTTAAACAACATCAGTTGTTAAATTTTACATTTTCCGCTCCGTGGCCCACTGGTGGCTGAGCCCAGTTTGAAAATACCTGATTTATACTAATTTTCAATTGCCAGGGATTTGTTTTGAGTTCAATAGAAGGTAGAGTTGCAGTAGAATACCTTGATCCATCACCAGAAATCCAGAAAAAGAAATATGCTTTCAAATGTCACAGGACGAAGAAGGATGGAGTTGAAAATATCTATCCTGTCAATGCAATATCGTTTCATAACAAGTACAACACTTTTGCAACCGGTAATTATCTATTGCATTTATTCGTCAATAGCTCTGTTTCAGATCTTTGCTCTGCTCAATATGGACAGTGTTATAAATTATAATGAGACATGCCTCATTAACGATAACACAGTAAAATAATGAAATCGCACAATTATTTTTATATTGTTGCTTATCATACCAAATGTTTGCGAATTCAACCAAGTTTTTGTGTAATAATTTGGAAATTTAATATACGACTTCGAGCTGGTTATGTTTTTCCATAAGTAGTATTGAATGTATAACTGTTAACTTAGTATTCTATTTATATAATTTGTCAATACCAAGACCATTGTTATTAACCTGACAATAACAATTAAATGTTTTCTAAATTCTGAAATTGGGTATGAATACAGGTGGATCAGATGGTTTTGTTAATGTTTGGGATGGATTTAACAAGAAGCGACTCTGCCAATTTCATCTTTATCCAACATCTATCGCATCACTCTCATTCAGTCATGATGGATCAATGCTGGCTATTGCATCATCATACATGTATGAGAACGGAGAACCTGCACCAGATGATGCGAGTAATCCAGATGATGCCATATATGTGAGACATGTAACTGATGCAGAGACGAAACCGAAGTGAGCATAAATTTTTTCATTTCAAACTTGTTGTTAGATAATGATAGTAATGGGTGGAACAATTAATACCTTGAACTTGAAGCTGTATAATTTTAGTATGATGTATTCTGAGCATTGTTTGAAAAATTCTGTTACATTAATAGCCTTTTTTTTTAATTTTTTTCAGATCTCTGGCGACCTAATTGAAAATGATCACATCATGCTGAAATAGCTGCTTCCCATGCGGTGGAGTTTTGGCCATCTTTGATTTTGTGCATCCCTACTGTTTTGTACTAAGTCAAGGAAATGTGACATTGTTGAAGTTATTCCCACATTACCACCAGTAGGGCTGGGCAGTGCGAAACAAATAGCAAATTATTCCAATTGATTCAGATGAAAATTTCAAATTGCTCCAAAGGATAAGATGAATCCCTCAACTTAGTTCTATTGAAGCCCTATTTTTAATATGCAATTCTGACATAAGATCCGACTCTTTATTTCCTAATGAGTTATTGATGGAATAATTTTCTTATTGTCTGTGAACACTCAGATTTGCCTATGTGATATATTCCATGTTTTCAGCAATTCATGTGTCCGGATATCACATACAATTACATATCTCACAATATTCGAGATATGCGATTCTCTAATTATCGGGTATTCGAAAATGCCCAGCCCTAACCACAAGAAGAATAGACTAAGGATATGAATGATAGGATTTACATATTTATTCTGACTAAGCGTCTCGTAAAAGTTGGATTCTCTGTATTGAGGCTCATTTAGGGATAAAGTATTTTAAAGTTAAAATTTTACCACTTTTCCTTAAGCTTTGAGCAATTTCTCAATTTTCTATCATACCAGTGAGACCTACTGTACATCAGAAAAAAATGATTTTGGAAACGTAACAGAATTGACTTTTCGACTTTACCGGTTACATTAATCTTTGTGATTAATTTATTTATCGGGGATATGCATGAACTTACATTCTATTTTTAATGTCAGCTTCCGAGTGTAAAATTTAGTCAAAAATATTTTTGACAAAACACTGTCTTATAATATTTGAATATAAAAATATGTCTTGATATCAAATATCTTTTAAAGTTGTTGACTTTGGTAAAATGGAAAATTAGGTTTGTCTGGAATGGAAATTGTAAATAGCATATTGGTCTTCCTTGAAAAGGGCTTTCTAAGATGAAACAATTTCATTTGAATGTCGACTTTGCCCTATCCAAACTACCCAATAGTTTTTTTATGCCTGTTTAAATGTTTATTACGCTCTGCATTAGATAACATAATTCCAAGCCAGAATTTGCCAATAAAGCGTGCTCAGTTGGAAGCAATATATGTAGGCTAATAACCTAAACAGATCAGATAGTACGTTGAATTTTAAAATACTTTTATAAATTCAAGGCTATAATAAAACGTCAAGACACCGGATAACCGACGTTGTATCTGGGGTGGGTAATGATAATTACCGTGTTGCACATTTCACAATTTTCAAGTGCGTTGTATACCTTATAAATACCACCAACATTTAGGTATACTCGAAGTAAAAAAAAAATTTAATGTGGTGGGCCAAGTCATTATGAATGAATATTTCAGATTTTACTGGCAGAGTCAAATAATCAACCGCGCAAAAGTATAAAAAACGTAAAAACAAAGTTAGATTAGTGGATTCTTTTTTCTTGTATAGTTCCGGTAATTTGGTCATAACGGGGATTCAATTCTTTTTCAATTGCTCCTGGCATCAAAGAATCATAATCAAGATTTAAGTTGAATCTGATGGGCTGCCGGTCCCGGCGTCAACGGTAATAATAATGTTTGTTAACCATAGCCGACAACGCCAACCATACACGCGTCTGCTATTATCTATATAAATTGTGAAGCTAAAGCCGGTTCTTTGTTTTCAAATGCTCGAGTTATGCAAGCTGAAGGATGCATTTGACGCTGTTTTCCAAAATTTGGTAGGGGTGTGGTTCTCCTAGTCCCGTCCTGTTTACGGCCTTACACAGGCAGACGCCATGCGCACGACAAAATGTCAACATTAGCTGCAACTTGCAGGCTGCTGGCAAATTCGAAGTTTGAATACTCCAATCTGAAGGGAAATAACTTAGATTAGGAATCACCTAAACGTGAATGTCCCTTTCGAAAGTCGTGCCATGTGTGCCGCGTTTACATCGTCTCCAATTGAATATTCTAATACATTACAGTTTGGAAACCCTGGCTTAGGCTGTTCAACCTTCGTATACCATTCAGGAATACACTCGAATGTATACCGTATACTATACACGGTTGAAGAGCCCTGTTCTAGAATACTTAAATTGAATCCAGAATACCTAATCTTATTCAATTCTTATTGTTCTTCAAATGTCGGAGTGAAAAACACGTTCAAATTCAACATGTTAAACGTCAGTCGTGCAACAACATATATAATACCAGAACGGTCCATTGGTCGGTCCACTTTGTGTTCGACAAGCAAGTCTTTCGTCAGTCGTCGGCCCCCTAAAAATATAGAAACATAAATGTGAAGAAAAAACGGTGTCTTTTTGTCACAAAGCAAAGTATTCGTTATACGTTACGTTGCAGTACCCCAATGTGCGTCAAGATTACTGCCGGTTCCTATTGGAGTGGACGAATCCGAATACAGCGTCTTCCTGTTTATTCCGGTATTGGACAATGGACAATCAATAACAATTGCAGCAGAAGATTTTCCAGCATGGTATAAATTTAGCTTATCTCAGCTTATAGACAAATTTATCAGAGTTATGTGATGATGTTGAATACCGCACTGAGTATGAAATGTTTCATAAATTGTAAATTACGTTCATACTTTCAGTGAATCATTGATAAAACGAATCATAGATATATATAATTCTATCGATAAGATATATCGGAGTTTTGAAGTCTTCGTGGGAGAAACTTATATGAAATGTATATTTGAGAACAATATAATAAACTATCCATTAGGGTTTTTCTAATCGGTATCATTTGAATTGTATTGGACGGGAACGGTGCATTTTTGAACAACATCACTGGCAACAATTTGGCAATACGACGCGCAAGTCCAATTCGTATTTGGAACTGAGTTGTCTCCTAGACACAAGTGGGTTGAAGTGCATTGATGACAGATCAATGAGTAAAAAAATGGATGGTGTGTGTATGATTCATTTTCGAATTATAAACCCCGTGCACATCATCGTATTTACTCACCTCAAACACTTCGGGATGCTACCAAATAAATGTAGCCTATTAGTTCTTGTTATTGTGACGTGGAATTATGGGGATATTCTGACCAATTCAATTACCACAAACATCAGAAAATGTGATAAAAGTTCAGCATTGGTGAAAAATTATCGCCCGAATGCCAGAATTCTTCATTTTGAACAATTCAAATTTGTTTGAGTCAGACAGCCAAAGAGAAGTATTTTCGAAGTCGTGGGATGTTGGGTTAGGAGGTCAGCATCCACACGACTCTCTTGTCTTGAAACCTTTTAAGAAAAAATTTGGACAATATCAAGAGACGCGTTTGTTTTTCGTTGAAATGCGGATAAGGAAATCCCACCAAGGGCAAACTCGCTTTGCCAATAGTGACCTTCGTGACGAATGAGCATAACGCCATACATATTGGATATTTTTTTTCTCAGAAAGATTCATAATAATTTCAATAAAAAAAACAGTCATTGTGATAATAGTTCGCTCAGTGGCTCGCCGGATAGCAGTTTTAAAATCTTTTTGTCATGAAACACGATTGGATTATTATCAAAGATGCCATCGAATAGTTTTCAGGACTGCCACAAGAGAAGATGCCGAACGTACAATAGAACACAACTGTTTGTGTCATTCGATTCATGCAACAAAAACTATCTGTTTCAGAAAATACCGACGCCATACGGTCTTATCGATGCATTGGGTAACTCTATATTTTAAATGTAAAAGTATTAAAAAACTAGGCGAAGTAGTAATCAGTCTGTTGGTAGATACAACCTGTAAGCAAACTTCACAGGTAGAGAAAGGGTTTGGCGACTGGAAATATATTCAACGAAAATAAAATGAAGATGTGATGGTCAGCGCCATTTGAACTGTAGACGATTTTTTTCTTCTCTATTACAAAAATTGACAGAAATAATCCCAATTTCATCTACGATACAAAAGTAAATACCAAATTCAAGATTGTACAGAATTCACAGTAACAATGAAAAACTATCTGAATGCAACGTCTGCTACTCAGAAAGATTTTTCGTGCATTGCCAATTAACACAACATATCGTATACCATCCACATCTCAAATGTTACTTGTCTTGTCAAATTTCGAAGACGCTTGACTATTTCCGCGACAAATATAAAAACTTGGAGTTTATAAAATTTGTTCCGAACTATTTATAAAAATAACGAACTCAAGGAATAATAGAACAACAGACGAAGCACATGTTTCTTTTTAAATATAAAAGATTTTCTGATTTATGTCACGTTACTAAAATGTACGTAGAGGAAGGCCCACGTTGGGACATGGGGCACAGTGAAATATCAGCTCTCACACTCATATTATATCTGCAATCAGCCACGCTTAACATGGCATATCGGTGAGTCACTACATCCGCAAAAACAGACATCGGCAATGCAGAGCGACTAGAGTTATAGAGCAAAGTCGGTTTTGGGGTGTTTAAAGTAAAATTTTGGCATCTCAGTCTTTTCTTTCTTCCACTCTTACCTTTTCAACAGGACAAACCACTGCCTGGCTATTTTTAGTCAAATATTCATATCGTTGGCGGAATGTTATACCTTTCTAATCTGGACATAGAGCGGTCTGAAAATGTTTGGTGGTTATGCTGTCAATGAACCGGGGTTCAGTGAGACATGGTTCATGGTGCCCCATTAATTAGTGTTTCATCAATTGAGTGCTTGGAGTCCTGAAGATATGCTGCGTTATGTTATGTGTAATAATAGGATATACCTAACGATGAGTTATCTTTTGTGCAGGAGAGGGAAAAGATTAAAGTAGATTACTTAGCAATGAAGGTACCTGTAACAATATGTCTAGCATTTTCTTCATCTTGCATATGGCAGTATGGGTCTGAAGTTTCTAAACTGTAAGTCACTGTATTTATTTACGTTTCTCAGGTAATTGCAGTCATATCAGATCTACGGTACCTCAGTTGGAAATGCCTCGTAAAGAGTCAGAAAAACTACTATGGGCTTGATTGACCCCGAAGGAATGAAACAGTAGGCCGCGAGCCGAGGCCCGGAAAAACGCCTAGAAAGTGAGTTTCGTAGCGCACATCAGGTAACTACCTGAAAATGATTTTAAAATGTTCCTTAAAATTTAGTAACAGGTATTGCCTTGTTCCCACTTCCAAAAGTTGCACGTTTTACGGAAAAGACGCTTTTACTACAAGAAATATGTGCTACGATCTGTCCTATATTCTCTACATTTTCGGCAATGAACAATGACTTCTGCATGACGTAACAATTGAATCGAATCAGCTGTTAGCGAGCGATGAATATTAGTTATTACTGCTCGAACTTGCGTTGAGTTGGGCAGCCTTTCCATAGCCCTGTTTAGTTATTATTAGTTAAGTTATGCTAAGACGTTGTTGAAAAATGTATAAGTAAGTTATTAAACACTTGTAGATCCTTACCACAGATATGGGCCGTGAGACGAAGCCTTGAAAACGCCCAGAAAATGAGTTTTGTAGCGCACATCTGGTATGACTGGTAACTAAATAAATTCTTCAGTTTTGTGTGAAAATGAACATACTGAACGCATTACAGCTTGTTCCACAATCCTGATGCGAAATTGAACATAAGAGGTTCCCGGAAATTCAATAACCATAAGTTTACAACACATACATAAGAATTATGCAATTCGAGAGCCCTGCAGCACAGCACACTGACACAACTGTATTCCTGTAATGTTTTTCACCTGACCAAAATCGGACTTCTTCAGTCAATCATAATTTATTAGGTAGATTACGAAAAATATGGCATACATGTAACCAACAACAAAAAATACTTTAATGTGTGACAGGAATCGCGAGTGACCTCGAAAGCAGCGACACCAACAACGCTGATTCACATTAGCGAATAAATTT